GAAAAAGAAAAAGAAAAAAAAAAGAAAAAAAAAGATAATGGATAATCAGGTGTCTGTAACAGACGACCATAGCAACTCTGATGCGTAGTACAGGCAATCTTCTTGTAGTCGCTACTAGATATCAGTTTATTAAGATACACCATTGCTAGTAGCAGCAGAATACAGTGTTGGAATGCGTATTCTATAATAGTAATCAATGGGACAACTCAAATGCTCATCCACGTCATCCGTGAGCCGCCGCATTGGGAACCCAATGCAGTGGCCGGAGGCACCGCGGACGGCCGCAGCCCCAGAGCCATCTTGCTGGTGTCGGCTTTCATTCGGCCTGACATGAAAGTACTTGAAAGTAGTTTCGGTTGGAATTAGCTTGGATCGTGATTCCCAACAATCTTCAAGACAATGTGACCGGAATTGCGCTTGAATCGCGATTCCGCGTCTGACTGTGTAGAGACCAAAGACGAGCGTCAGCTCGCTTCACCTCTCACTATTTTTGGCTCAATACACTTCAATCAAAGCGGCATTGTATGTGCTTCCTCCCAATCCTCAGGATTGTACAATCTCTGATGCATATATTTTAGTGAGTGGTCTTACCGGTCTTGCTGGTCTACTTTACCAGCCTGCTACTGGTGTCATCTTCCCAACTTTGGTCTATCTTACTCTCCGAACACTCTACGGTCTCTACCTTACTCCTTCAATCATCTTCTACATCTTGTCTACCTACGACCTGGCTGAAATCTTTGGCACTCTATTGCTCATCTTAATTCTGCTCATCAGATTGCTCTTCCTTGTTGGTATGTTTAAGTACTTCATCTCGTCTCAATCCCTTTATCTAATATATCATGCAGCTCGTTCTCTCCCCACGGACAAAATACCTGACTGGTTCACTCGTCTCTGCCCCATCCACTGCCGCCGAAGTCAATATGACCTTGCCAACATGTGTGCCCGTCACCATCGTTGGTTTCTGCAATACTGTCAACTCTGTCTTAACTCATACCCTATGGTGGACACCCAAAAGTATGGGTTATTACAGAGTATGGGAAAGAGGTCATAAATAATATATACAATGATTTTATCTTTATTTTCGATTAAATGCGACTTTTTCCGAAGCTACTGTAGATTTCAGACCATATGTTCTAGATTTTGGCGTTACACGTTACCTATCCAGATGTTCGGGCCGATCACCGTTCGGCGGTGGCCGTTACGCGTTACCACGAACATTTTTCCCGGTGCCTTCCCACCGAGCGACGCGCGGCCTTCCTTACGACCACGACAACCTCCCGACGTCGATTGCGTGATATCTCATTGATGCTCGCAGCTACGCCATGCAGCACGCACCACACAGGTAAAGCTTATACCAGCATTTAGCTCTATCTGCATGAGCTCAGCCAATATCTCTCCAGGCCGGCATCAACTCTGCAGTTTATCCACGACGCTAGGTAAGTATCCGCCATGGTTCAAGCGGATAGCGGCTGATGCATGAGGCAGGAGCTGGGTGTAGAAATACTTGTGGTGGGGATCAGAGTAAGTCCTAGCAACTCTCTTTATCTCCCCTCGTCGCTGACTGGTCGCCATGTCTGCCCTCAGTCCGTCGCCTTTATTATACAAAGCCCACGAATACTGTACGTCTACTCGTATTGTAGCAATGGGAAAGGATACTGATACTGCGACAGCCTATGTCGTAGTCTATAGTCTAATTATAATCTGCACTCTCCTACCCATCTCGTGCTTTGGTGTTCTCATCACGCTCGGCCAACTCGCGCTCGTTGTACTTATGGTCGTGCACACTCTCGGTAAGTCGTATCACTGAGCCATTCCTTATGTGAGACTAATTGCGAAACAAAGGCCGGGGCATCTCCTCAAAGCCGTCACGATTGCTCTTGCGCACGTACGGTCTGCTATCATTACTGGTTCCTTTGTCGTCAGCCCTCCCTGTTGCCAACCCGGCCAACGAGACCGGCAGAACTTCGCACGTCTCAACGCCCGACTTGGATCTCACTACCAAGCCAGCTTCAACTACGACTGCGCTACCTTTTGTGGCGCCCTTGCATGTCCTGGCTCGTCTCTTGCCAAACCACGGTCTTCCCGTACAAGAGGCCCTCGACGTCTTCAATATGTTCTTCGACTTTCATCCTTCTATTGCGGCTCGCTTCCCTGCCCGCTACATTTCAGACGACGTCAACCTACCCCTTGATGACCCGTTGGTGCCAACCTTCAAACAGTCTATTGTCGACATAGCCCCATCAATCTACGAGGCTGCCCTACGTCACACCACACGCCTGGTTTCTACAATTCAAGATTTGATTGCAAATGGCGCTCGGGCACTGGAGATCGCGCCTCGACAGTGTCTGCCCCTTTGGGGTACAGATGTGGTGCAGCGCCTGCAGCCTTCTGCTGATCGACTCGAGTGGTGGCACGATGCCGACGATTTCTTGAAGCAGTTCGAGGACGCCGCACCGCAGGGTGCTTTCAAAAACAGTTTCGTTTTGGCTGTGCTTCAAGCTCGTGGATACCTCCTGACTCTCCCACATGATGTCGAAGTGAGCGAAGAGTTCCTATTGTGTATGATCAGTTATTGACAATTATATTTAGGTCGCCGGTCGAGGTGGTGCAGTTCATCTGCAAGCACGCGATCTTGCATCATTTCTTTCACATCGCTGGCTCAACGACGACATGATCAATGCTGGTCTTGACTGGCTGGTGCATGCTCTTGGCCCAACCACCACCACGGCCATTGCAAACTGCTACTGGCTAGAATCCCTTCGAAGTGCTCGTGCACAGGGCTTCGCAACATACGCACTGCGCTCATCCCGCCTAGCTGCATTGTTACGTACCGGCCGAATGCGCGTACTCGAGATCCCTTTGCACATTCATGGCAACCATTGGGCTGGTCTGCACGTCAACTTGACCGATTGTACGTACTCTTACCGTGATGGTCTGTACGCGTCGGCACATCCCTCTCAGGAGGACCTCGATCTGGTTCAATGGGCATTATCGTCCTTACTTCCTGGTCCAGTACCTCAGCTCACGCCCTCGACTCGACCGCTTGTGTCCCCTCGCCAACGGGATCACCACTCTTGTGGTATTCTCTATCTTTCAACACTTTCGCATGAGCTCCTTGGAGATCAACCGTGGCGGCAAGCGACTGCCGATCTATGGCACCTGGAGTGGTTCAACCGTCTAGCAGAGGATGCGGCCATAGGCTCCGATGCACAGGTGAGATCTTGTCTTCTCGTCTCGAGTCGGGTTCATGTTATCTCATTTGTTGCATAAGTCTGTTCAGGAGGAGGAAGACGGCAAAGCCAGCATCGTAGAACTCGACAACGTCACATTCGACTTTGAGCAGTCAGCATATACTGTAGGTCTGACCTTTTATTCCTGGTCGGTGACAGGCTGATACATGCTTAGGTGTCGCTTGATAACTCTGAGCGAAGCCCTGAGCTTGAAGATTGCAATAACGAGAGCTCTCGACCACCAACGCCGCCTGCTTTGTCTTTGCCCTCCCTCGATAGTTCCGCTGCATGGCCCGCTCGACTTCGTGGGAGGGGATCCGCCGCCACGTCTTCTCTCTCAGGCTGGTCTCTTGACACCTTCGATACCGACAGCATATCTGACTTCTCGGATGTGTCCTACGAGAACGATGAACTCGCCGAAGACTCCGCAGATGAAGCTCTGTATCAGTCAGTTCACCAAAGTTCGTCGAGCGACGCCCTTGCTCCCGAGTTCCCAACTCATGCCGAGTCCCCGATTCGCGCCCACCTATATGATGCTGCCGAACAGCCCGTACCACCTAGACGCGCCGCTCCTCACCCTGAACCTTCGGGTCATGTGATGCGTCTGACAGCGTATTTTGAATGCCTAACACCCAAACAAGCAGCTGCACGGAGGGAGGCTCATAGAGCAGAGGATCTTGAAGCAGCTGCCGAGGAGCTGAAGCACAGGGAGTACCGCCTTTGGCTGGAACACCTGAAGAAGGAGGAGCATGTTCGAGCTTTGACGCGCGAACGTGTACGCAGGTATCGTCAACAGAAAAAAGCGGCGAAGGTACTTAAACTCCTTTTTCTCATGTACGCATTTCATGCTGATTAATGTATAGGATGAACGTTGCCCCAAAGTCTCAATGAACGACGTTCTTGGTCGCATTGACAGCCTGCCGCCCGGGCCATCTATGGCTCAGGTCTCACGTCCGTATTGTCAATTCAAGATCGACGCTCGGGAGAATCTCAGCAGCCGTGGCCGCAAACGTATGTGAGAAAATGTTGAAGCCAAGAAGATCAACTGGACGAACCACTTGCTGTTTGAGCAGATTCGCAGTGCCGCGCGCGATTGTGGCCCCTGGATGCGCCCTGCAGAGATTGTGAAGTGCTTGCAGTGTCGTAATCCACACGACTTCGCGGCTCTGACACCTCAAGTTCTCGGACAGTACATCGAGCGACCGCGAGATGCTTTCCCTCGTTGGCGGCCGGAGGTCATACAACGTGTAGAGGCCCGTGGCGGGATACGTCCTGGAGGGCACTCTCAACACTGTGGTGTTCTCGTAAGTCTGGGCCAACTGCTTTCATTACTGCAGGACACTGATTCCTCTACTTAGTCTAGCCATCCCGAACTTGTTGACGAGATCCTCCAACAGTTGATCGCTATACGCGAAGCCGGTGTCATGATCACGGTCGATAACGCTCGCAGTATCATCTTGGGCTTGATACAGCACTGTGCGCCTCAGCTTCTTCGGGAAGTCCTCAGCGACGGCAGCCAGTTTGTTTGTTCGGATGCCTATGTCCGTCGTTTCTTATACCACCAACTTCATTGGGTGCCACGGCGGGGTACGCGAGCGGCTCAAAAGACACCAGAGAACGCTGGACAGCTGTTATGGGAGCTTTTCATCCGCTTGGTCTTATCTCTGCATGATGCTGGCATCCGTCATGGCGGTCTGTATATCAACTTCAACCAGACGCAAGTCGTCATCGCCAATCCGTCTACCCGAACTTTCGCTCGCGAAGGCGATCACCAGGTCAGCTCAGCACGGTCAACAAGGAGGAAAAGCGTGCATGGACGGCGGTCGTAGGAGTTGCATCAGACAGGTCTGTGCTACCTACGCAGGTCATCATGAAGGGCTCCTCGATTCACTCACTACCGTCTCCGGATGCCCCGCGCTTCGACGAGGCCCTTGCTGTGGGACTACGCTTCGACCTCAATCCCAACAATTATTGGTTCAGTGCTCCTTTGATGGAGACGTACTTCGAACACGTTGTCGTCCCGTTCTTCACGCGCAACAAGGCTGCACACAACTACCCCAAAGATCAGGAGTGCATCGTCCTGTTGGACTGTTGGTCGGTTCACCGAAGTCGCGAGTTCAGAGCTGTTGTTCGCCGCCGCTGGCCCTGGATTTGCCTTTGTTATGTTCCAGGTGGTATGACTGGTCTCGCGCAGCCCTGCGACGTTGGCATCCAGCGGCCGTACAAGCTGGCTATTCGCCAGGGTCAGCAGCAGCATATCATCAACGAGACCTTGCAGCACCTCCGCTCTGGTGCCGTCGCGACGGCGATCCGGCTTGACAATCGCATTGGCACCCTTCGCGACTGCGCTGTTTCTTGGTTCACCAATGCCTGGAATGCTATCAACCAACCATCGCTAGTGAAGAAGGTGAGAGGGCTTGTTATTCTTGCTATTTCTTGAACACTCGCACTAACAAATGACCAGGCGTTTGAGAAATGCATCGTGCGCAACGGATTCAACCTATCTTTCAAGTCTTTGACTAGCCCGGCGGCGCTCAAGATTGTACGGGATGTCAGCAACGGCTAGGCGGCCGCTTACTAACACAGACAAAGGGGCGAGCGTATAGACCAAGGCAAGCGGCTAGGTAGCCGGTGTATTG